TATATCCATATATGTTTATCTGTAATATCCAAATTAACCTTCTTGATATTTCGACTTTTAAGGTTTTGCCCGCCAAATATTAAAATAGATAAGAAATTAACCATTGCTTTAATATGTTACATTAGATAGAAATATTTACCGCAATGACAGTTAAAATTTTCTCTCATTTCATTCAGAAACATCTTTGAATTCGTAATCTATGAACATATCTGAGCCTCCAGTCAAATCTTATGTATCGTCACAATCTCTGAATATCGCCGTTAAATCTTTACGATAAACGTGGTTATTTCATTCATTACCATATTCTTAAAAAAGGTTGTCAGTTTATCCACTACAAAGATACAACCTGAGCATCTCTACACCATCCTGGACAACTCCTGTTTTGAAGGCCATAATAAGAGCACACCTAGAATGCCACAAAAAAAATTGGCACCCTGCATGCCATCGATAACTCCTTAACTCATTGCTAACATCTGAAACTAATATGTAGCGAAGCTATTTCTGAGATCTGAGGTGAAAAAAATCAAATTAAATTGAAGAGTTCTAAATTTCGTTAATGACAATAAAATTCTTAGATGGGTAATCAACGCATATTTAAAATTCACCAATGCACTATATAGTTGAAGATTCAACATATATTTATCAGTAATAATAGATTGCTTCGCCACACATACCATATCGAAAATCCATATCCATCCATATCGAAAATACTGTACCATATACATAAAAAATATATGAAACAACAATTTTAAGTGCCCCTCTTCATTTCAAAGAGAATTTGTTACTTTCTCTCTTCTGGGATTTACCCACTACACATGACAAAAAAAAACTAACAAAATGAAGACAAATAGAATTATCCCAACTATTTCAAGCAAATATCGCAGCTCAGAAACTAGCCCGTCCATATTGTCAACTTCACAGGGCCAAACAAAAAACTATCGAAGAAAACATTGCTTAATCGTCAGAAGTTAGATAACCCTATTAATACCTGCACTCTTCAAACACACACAGATGGAAACACTACTCGAGACGGGAGTAGTGTGCAGAGACCAATGAAAAAAAAACCTAATCATCGAATGGACTATTAACTATTCCTATTAAACAAAATTTCTACAACAGCATGTCCTAGACAAACCAATCAATCCCATCCAAAAATGCAACAAAACAATCAAAGTTATACTCAAACTAACGCAAATGATATACTAATTATAGAAGTATTATAAATGGTGAAGATAATACAAACTCTCCCAAATGAATTTATTTTAAAGGTATAAATTTAAAGCAATTGGTATACTTCAGAGAATTTTACTTAATTTTCTAATCTATATATTCTTGGACTAGGAGAAATTCAAGTATCGGAAATCAATTTTAAACAACCGAAAAGTACCTAATGAAGAAAAAACGAAATAATAGTTATTTATGATAAAGTTGATAAGTTAAATTTATATTGTTTATTTAAAATTAATGAATATATATATAATGAATACGGAAAAGATTTCTATGCCGATGATGATAAAAGTTTGAATAAAAATGAGATAATAATTATTAGTTCATTGTACTTAATAGAACTGGAGGCGCCAAATTGTATCTCTACTCAGTAATCCTTAAAACATAATATTGAACGTTAACCTAGAGGAATAAAAAAATAGAAAGTAGAATAGAAAACAACTGCAAAACTATATTAACAATGCTGTGAATCGTTAAAAGAATCATGATGACACTGAGCTCTTCGCTAAGAACTAGATCTTAAATCCAACCAAGACTTTTACTCAGTTATTGACATATAGTTTAATTTGTTTTAAATTAATTTTTAACGTCTGCTTTAGTGAAAGAAACTAAATTCTTAATATAAACTATTTCTTTCAAGGTTTTATCGAACAGTAGTGAATTGCAACGACGAAAATTTTTATTATTTTTAATTAATTGAGTTTGTAGCTGACCTTACAGCTGTTTCGAGTATTGCCAAATACCTATCAGCAAGGTCTTCAAATTGTTTCTTATTTTTATTTATTTATAAGTAATTTTTTGAGACTGCAAGTACCGACGGTTGAACTTGTACTCTGCCAAATTTGAAGCTCAGAACATTGATCATTAGTTAACCGACCCGAAGTCGTAATTGAGTTGTATATTCGAACATGAAGATTTGTTAATTTGCTATAAAAGCGTATTAACATATTAAGCCTAAGTTATTAAATCTGAAGGTTTTAGATTCCGCAGTTATATAGATCAAAATTTAAACTAAGGTACCAGGATATTGTTAGCAACATATTAATCAATTTGGTAGTTTTTTAGTCCACATTTTGAAATAGTCATTCCAGTGGAACTTCAGCCAGTCTATGTATTTCAATGTTCTATGTGCAATATGTGAATATGTGTTATAGTTATATGTGTTAGTTAATTTGTTGAACTATTGCTACAGGACGCGATGAACTATGTTGCTCAAAAATTGAGTTTCAAGCTGGAAATTTTTAGAATTTTTTTAGGTACAGTGTTCTAATAGTTTAAGCCTTTCAGAATCTTGTACAATTATTTCGATTATGAATATTAATTGTAAGACAAAGAATACTTTTTGTCTAGTATTTTAAATTGGAAACTTATAATATTGCATATAGCATATTATAGCACATAGTTCTGCTGACCTATATCTTTCTGAAATGTGACCAGTTTTTCTTCTTATGTTCTCATGGCTAACACCTATTTTTAAAATTTTTGCCCATTTTGTAGTATATTTAGTCACAAAAATGTTTGTTAAAGTTCTATAAAAGTTTAAGCTCTCAAAAAAAGATTCATTGTTGAAAAAATATGCTATTTTCCTGTTATATACAATAATCTTACTTACTTATATTTTAGAAAATCTCGGAATCTCAGTGAAAAGAAACGTCGTGATCAATTTAATTCATTGGTAAATGACTTAAGCGCTCTTATATCAACAACCAACCGTAAAATGGATAAGTCGACTGTACTAAAGTCAACGATAGCATTTCTTAAGCATCACAATGGTAAATGAGTAAAATATAGATAACCTATAAATCAATATTTATATAAATGTTTACTATATTTTAGAGGCCACTGATAGATCGAAAGTGTTTGAAATACAGCAAGACTGGAAACCATCTTTCTTAACCAACGATGAATTTACACATCTAATGTTGGAATCACTGGATGGTTTCATTATAGTTTTTAGCAGTAGAGGTTCCATATTTTATGCATCCGAAAGTATTACCTCCTTACTAGGTTATTTACCAGTAAGTATTTATTTTAATTTAATATCATGTAAGGTAAGTTTATTGTTTATGTATATATAACATATGTCTCATAAAACAATCCATTTGGTTGGAGCAACATTGACACGAAACAGCCTGTATATATTAATCTGTATACAGGGATTTTTTATATTAATATAGATTTTTATATTTCTCAGCATATTCTTATATATTTATATATTATTACAGAATGATTTATTAAATATGACCATATTTGACTTAGCCTATGAAACGGATCACGAAAGTCTGCTTAACATATTTCTAAATCCAAAGCCTGTAATAGAACCACTGCAGACTGATATCAATTCCTGCAATCAGATTACATTCTATGTCCATCTTCGTAGAGGTGGCATTGAAAAGGTTGATGCCAACGCATATGAATTAGTAAAGTTTGTGGGATATTTTAGTAAGTTATTATTTAGACTTGAGTTAGATTACTTCTTGATAATAAATTTTTATTATCTTCAGGAAATGATGCCAATGTAGATAATATGCCAACGCCAAATACTCAAACACCACCAAGAATATTTCAAATGAATCCTGGCGCAGAGGTTGACAAGAAACTGATTTTTGTTGGTACCGGACGTATACAGACGCCGCAATTAATACGTGAAATGTCTGCCATTGATCCAACCAGAAATGAATTCGTTTCGAAGCACAGTATGGAATGGAAGTTTTTATTTTTAGATGATCGAGCGCCACCTATCATTGGTTATATGCCATTTGAAGTGCTGGGAACATCAGGCTATGATTATTATCACTTCGATGACTTGGACAGCATAGTGTCGTGCCATGAAGAACGTAAGACTTAAGTTTATATTTATAATATATAATAATTGATTAGAAAACTACTTTCTAAAATTTACAGTTATGCAAAGAGGTGAAGGCAAATCGTGTTATTACCGCTTTCTTACCAAAGGCCAGCAGTGGATTTGGTTACAAACAGATTTCTATATATCCTATCATCAATGTAACTCAAAACCTGATTATGTTGTATGTACCCACAAAGTAGTTAGTTATGCAGATGTGATAAAGCAAAATAAATTGCTTGCAAAAAATAGTAAAC